TAACGATGACAATTCACAAAGTCCAAAACTTTAAGAAAAAATTATTAAAAGTTATAAAATAATCTGATTGTAAAAAATTATTTTATTAAGTCTTTCAACTATTAAAAGTTATAAAATGATCACCTGACTATTAATTATGTTCTAAACTCGTCTTTTTTGTTAAAACTTCGACGATAATCTGAGATGTACGTTAACCTGTTAACCGAGATATAATAAATTTTGATCTCTTAATCTGACTATCATCAACATGTTAGCGTCCAACTCAGACGATCGTTAATTTTTTAACGGAAAAAATAGATTTAAAACATAATGAATTATCGAGTGATCATTTTATAACTTTTAATAGTCGAGGGATTTAACAAATCAAATCCCCATAGTTAAAGAATCATTTTGTAACTGAGAGTCAATAAAGTATTATACTATATTCAGAGAACAATTTGAATACTTTATCCTAAAATCTAAACATATAATTTTATTTAATAAATTTAATATCAATCCCATTAAAGTAAATAATTCCTAGTGCTGAAACTCGAAACTTTAAAGAATAACACCGATTTTATTACCACTAAGGTGATTCGATTCATGCCATTAAATAATTGATTGTTTGATATAATATTAGAATTTTAATAATTGACATTAAACAGATGAAATAAAAGGTGGGCAGGAGTCGTGGGCATGAGGTAAGCCTAAGGTCGAGCCACATGAATCTTGTCCCGAGTTTGTATTTTCTTCAAAGAGAGTCACGATAATACTCTTTGATTTTTGCGAGGGTCTGGGGAAGGTAAAAGACAAAGTTGATGGCCTAGTATTTCCTGGAAAATGTGTTTTGACTTACCCACTTTGGCTACTGCTACAGTGATTTAATGTAAACTCTTTGACAATAGTTTACCTAATTTCATATGCATATTTGTTGTTTTGCTCCCAATATTCAAGAGTTAATGTTGGGGGGTCACCATCTGTAGGGGCCAATCTTTTTTATTTTGACATGGTGGAATTGATTCATAAGTTTTTCTTTTTTCTGAATTCGCCATTTTATACTTAATTCATTGCACGGTGCAGATCGTCGTGCCCTTCTAATTTTCTCTCTGACCCCCAACGAAATCCACCATGTTTATCTTCAACCTTCCTCTTCTTCTTCATCTCCGAAGCTTGTAAGACTCTGAGTCAGCCATGGATTTGGACCCTGAAAAGCATGGCAAAAGAAGGAAAACCACGACGGAAGACGATGGACAACAACGGCCAACGGCGATGGAAACTCTTCCGAACGAGATCATCGTCGACGTACTCTCGAGGCTTCCGATCACGTCTTTGGTGCAGTTCAAGTTCGTATGTAAACGATGGCGTGCTTTAGCTCAAGACCCTGTTCTCGCCGATATGCATCTCTCGTTGAAATCCCATGGAAATGATCCCTGCCTTGTTCTTCACTGTGACTTTCCTATACGAAACCAGCTTTATTTTCTGGATTTATCGGCTTACAGTCGAGACGAAGACAAGGCAAAGAGGTTATTTGTACCTTTCCAAGCTACCATGCCTGAATTTGATGTTGTAGGGTCCTGTAATGGTTTGTTATGCTTGTCTGATTCATTATACAACGATGCACTTTATGTCCACAATCCTTTTACCATGGATTACATTGAGCTACCGAAATCTAGACAGTACCCTGATCAAGAACTCGTTTTCGGATTTGGATTCCATCCGAAAACGAATGAATACAAGGTAGTTAAGATAGTTTACTATAGGAACACTAGTACTTATAGTTACAGTCGTGCCCGGAGAACCTTTTATTCGCAATCTGATGTTCAAATTTTCACATTGGGAAGCTCTTCATGGAGGAATCTAGGGAAAGTGTCGTATCAGTTCGTAAGGCAGCCTTCGGAGGCTTTGGTTAACGGAAGGCTTCATTGGGTGAGTAGGCCTAGACGGTACCATCCGGCTCGCCGGATTGTATCATTCGACTTAGCCGATGAACAATTCCGGGAAGTCCCGAAACCAGATTGCGGCGGTCTCAATAAGTGTAACTTTCATCTGTCTGTTTTACGAGGTTGTCTTGCCGTCGCTGTTTATGGGAATTATGGTAAGTTGGAGATATGGATCATGAAGTGTTACAATGACAAGGAATCTTGGGTTAAAGAGTTCACAATTGGAGCTTACACCCCCAAGTGTTTGAAGCTAAATTTCGATCGAGATAGACCGTTGAAGATATGGAAGAACAACGGCTCCAACGGTAAAGCCGTTCGAGTTCTTTGCTCGCTCGAGAACGGCGAAGTGTTGCTGGAGTATAAGAACAGGGTCCTGGTGTCTTATGATCCAAAGAAGGGGAAATTCAGAGAGCTTGTGGTTCAGGGGATACCTAATTGGTTCCAAACAGTTGTTCATACAGGCAGTTTGAATTGGCTTTGATTGTGAGGTCAGTTCATTGATCTCTTTTAGCTATGCATTTCAATGCTTTGTTTGTACTTGTTCAATCCAGCTTTGTTTCTTACATTGATACACCTCATTGTCATTTATGAACATTGTTATTACATACAACCCAAATTTGGCAATAAACAAGTAGGCATTCAATGATATAAAACCTAATTCAAGAAGAAAAAAAACCAAAATGGACTGCCGTGTGAACAGGGTTTGTGAAGCTCCAACCTGACCTGCATTAAATAATAATCAACAACTTGCAAGTAACCAAATGGCATTTGTTTTCTTGCTTGAATCATCTCCGAACTGTCCTTTTCCATGAATTTAGACTTAGTTCCATCAAAAAAATGAAGGATCTTTTGGATCTTGAAGAGCAATATACTCCCTTTCTTTTCTTTTGTTTACCAACCGATCCAAAGTTGAAAAAATATTGCAGTAAAGTCACAAAGGGGGCCTATGATGTGTCCTCTAGTGGCTCATGGTAAGAGGAGAGTTTCCCATCAAAATGGGACTCTTCACCCCGTCCAAGTCTTTCTCAAAGTAACAATCATTTCCTGTTTTACTTTGAATTTTTTAAAACTATTAATCTATTATGTAGGCTCCAATGGTTTAAAATGTCAAACTCGACTCGAAATAAGTGTTCAATCGTACATGAGATTAAGTGAAACAAAAGCATGCACCAAAAAGATACAAGAATAATGTGTACCTCAAAATTTAGATAATCCGAAGGTTTCTCACTGAACCACCTAGAAACTTGTGATTAAAAGCCTAGATGATTGGGAACAAGAACTCAAAGCAACTTGGCCACCGAGTAAATAATCCTTAATTACCCTTCAAGTAAAACAAAACCCTAGGCATAACTAAATGAAACTCTAATCTTACATCATGCAGAAGCCATGTTTATGTCAATTAATGAAATCAAACTTTTATTCAAATAGATAATCCTCACACAAGATGATATAATACTTTACACATGGATGGACCGTATGGGTTGGAATATATATTTCATTATCTTTTACTGGTAATTTATTTTTGTTATTAAAATTTTTTAAGTTAATTTATCTGAAATATTATTAGTTCAACCTTGTCATAAAATCTTGCATCTGTGCTTATTTTACACCATAAACGCCATGATGTTCACTATGATTAATGTATCGGCGAATGGTCCATCAACACCATCCATATCATCGCTTATGATCGTGTGAGGTGACCTGGCTCTGCCCACCACCATTGCTCCTCAAATGCTCCAACAAAAGTTTTTCACCAGTCAGCTGCTCAACCAATCCTTGCATTTCAAATTGTATCAACAAAAGCAACAGTGAGTCCAAGAGTCTTATTTGGTTTACGCTAATAAGCTAGGTATTAGAATCTTAACATTTGCGACCCCTTTCCCTAGTTTAGGGTTGAGATTAGTACCAGTAGTAAAATGTCGACAGTCATGGAGCCCAACTCTTAAATCAACCCCCCATGTGTTGCTGAACTCAGAGGCTTTATCGACAGCATCCCCTTCACTATATCCAACAAACCAACATCTGCTCCTCGGCAGCTTCCTTGACTTCCTCATAAGAACAACTCCTCTTACAAGTGTTAATAGCATGAAGGAGAAAGACATCCCAACATTTAACTAAACCACAATCAAATGTTCTGTTCTTAGCTTGGTTCCAAATCTGGTAAATTGATGAATTGTAAGAGAATTTAAGTAAAATTCAGCAAGAACTGATCGCTAACCAGGCACTGCTCTACCAGATAGAACAGCAAGTGCTGTTTATATTATTTTGGTGTTATTAAGATAAAATCCATCGCACATAACTCGTTATAAAAGGAATATTTTATTTTTTTTGGTACATAAGGCAAAACGACCACGTTTAAGGGTCTACCATCTTAGAAACACATCCTTTTGCTATTTGCCTAAAGCATCGAGAAAAGCTCTTCTGGTGAGTCTTCTAGTTCGTGCAACCCCTCAGATCTTTCTAATGCCATTTTAATCAACCGATCAACGCCTCAATTTCCTTCTCTTTTTTAGGTCTTTGCAGCTCTCTTTGTTTAACGCTTCAACTGCCCATTTAGCATCAGATTCAACTATGAGTTTACTCGCTCTTAAGGTTTTGGAGATGATCATCCCTCGACCTCGACGGATTCCTCAAATTTCTGCCATTACACTGGTGGATTTTTCGACATTTAGCATGAGCCCGTGGATCCAACTGCCACTTTCATCTCTGATTAGACCTCCCTCCGTTGTCAATCTGGTGTTAGTATTGTACGCCCCATCTGTGTTTAGGATTAAGGAATAATCTTTTTATTTAATAAATTAAGAAAAAAAATAAAAATATATAGAGACCCCATAATAATTATACGTGAATATAAAATACAATGCATAACTTATAAAGAAAAAGACGATCACAGCATATGGTCATGTTATGAGTCACCGCATTGTGTACAAACTTTAAGAGAAGAAACAACGTGGCAATGGGATGGAAGATCTCAGATTTTAAACAGCATATATACATGTGCACTAAATCACATTAAAGAACAAAAACTTAGGTTTTGGGAGTATTGGAGCAACAGTAAGAAATAGAACAGTGAACAAATGCTAAACAAAAGGACTAAAATTTATTATAATCAAGAGATTCAAGACAACATGCAGGCTTGACACACTGCCTTTTGTAATAAAAGCATACAAGCAAAACCAAAAAAAAAAAAAAAAACTTGAAGCAAACATGGTTTAGGACCTAACAAACCCATCCCAAATTGCAAATTGAACATGAAACTCTCTCTCTCTCTTGGCATACGCAATGCACGTCAGTATAGCCGCTTTGCCAGTTGCTATCGGTTGGGCCTCGACCATCCATCCTTATTGAACTACATAGGAAACCTAGTTGACTCAACATGCAAACTCAGAAAACTGCAGTCATCACTTGAAAAGGCTTCCATTACTCGGTCTTCTCTGCTGGTTCAGCTTCTGTTTGGACTTCTGCCTTATCAGCTTCCTCTTTGGGAGCTTCGATAGCGGCCTCTGCTTCTGGTTCAGCTGGTGTCTCACTAGACTCTGTAGTTTCCTTGGTTTCAACGGTTGGCTCAGTAGCTTCCTTGCTCTCCTCGACCGCTGGTTCTGCCACTGTTTCCTTAGGAGTCTCCTCCACTGGCTCCTCAGTCACGACCTTGGATTCTTCTACCACCTCTTTGGTTTCATCTTCTACTGAGGCTTCTGCTTCAGTAGCCACTGGTTCCTCGGTAGCCGCCGCTTCCTCTGCAGCTGCTGCAGGCTCGGTTTCCTTTGGTTCTTCGGCAACAGGCTCCGTCTCTGGTGCTTCGGCAACTACCTCTTCAGCTGTGGTTTCTTGTTCCTTGACTGTTTCTTCAGTTTTCTCCTCATGACGTGCAATTTGAGCCGACACAACCTATAAAACAACATATAAACCATAAAACCAAGCATTTGAAAGATGAAATCTAAAAGAAAACGACGCAGGAAATGGGTTTTCGATAACAAACATCAAGATCATGATGGTTTGCTTCAAACAAGACCAGCTGATGAATGAACACAAAGGAGTCGATAAACAAAGCTTAATAAGAAATTTGAATACCTCAGCAGTAGCCATAGTAATCCCAAGGAGATGTAATTAGAATTAGGAAGAAAATTCCGGAAGGAGAAGAATAGAAGATTACTCTATAGTTCTTGTGTTTGTTGGGCATGGGTGAATGAAACGAGAGTTCTTTATATAGAGCTAATAGAGGGCTAAAAGTTGATGAGAGGTGGTGGGTGTCATTGAAGAATCTTGGATTTGACAACTCATCTCACAGAGTACAAGGTAACTCACTGATTACCTTATCTGGCAAAGGGTTTTCAATTTAGAACAGAAACAGGTGGTGGAATTGACTACTAGTGCTAATCACAATTAAGAAAGGAAAAAAGTTGAGCCGACAATGCAACAAAAAGGTGGTGCAACCAATGGGTTCGATTTACTTGAAAGGAACGAATAAAATTTTGATGTGGCAGGTCACTTGGACATATCTCCATAGCCCCTTCACGTTATTTTTGCAGCTATCTATTTTCTGTGCGTTGTTGTAGTTTTGTGGATCACTTTGGCTCGCTTGGCGTATATCTATGATTGGAGGCGGCCGTGGTAATGGAAAGGTAAGGAGTTGGCCAGTTAGGCCAAGCGTGGATTTGCTAGTTTCTGCAACGGCGGTGAGGATGGGGACCATCGACATGGAGCCCACGTGGAGACATGCTGGCGTGGAAGCACAGACCATGTGAGAAGATGTTTCTTTCTTCTCGTGTCGTTATTTGGGTGATTTCCATGAGGGGATTGTTGCCCCGTATCCAGGATTAACGTAAAATTTTATATTTAGTAATGAATTTAAATTTATAAAATTTAAAAAATGAATAAAATTTGAGAAGAGATGAAAATATATTTTTAATTAAAAATACATAAAAAAAATTAAAATATATAATAAATCTAGGATTTTAGAGGAGACGATCATTCTCATCCGCGTCTGTCTAAATCCATCCTTACCTTCGTGCATAAATTTGATGGAATCCCTTTCCTACCGATGGAACCATGTTATGTTCACCTTCTCTCTCATTGGGACGTTAAAATGAGTTGATTTTTAATTTAAATCATAAATTTTAAATAAAATATTAATTTAATTATTTTATCATTATTATTGACGATTATTAAACTCAAAAATTTTATGTCGACTCTTTTTTAGTCTATTGAGCACGAATCAAATGTATAATTCATCAAAAAAACTATTTTGAATTTTACAAATTTAACTTAAAATATTGACTTCCTTTAAAAGAATTGAATAGAAGTTGATAGTCTTATAAAAAGTAAAAATATACAAAATTACAACAAAAATTTATAACTATCTTAGTAAATTAAATGTATAATTTAGACATTTTCCTATAACATTGAAACTAGCAACTTTAAAATGGTAATAAGTTAAAAATGTTAAAAGTTCAATCAAAAGATTCGTACGAAAACTATATATGAACAAATCGGATTGCATAAAAGGGGATTAAGTTATTGAAAGACTACCAATAACCGCAAATCAGAGTCGAGTGTCCTGAGAAACTATCAACGAACGCAAAATCACGTATCCAAAATCAATTTGATGGTCTATAACAGGGAAAATCAAAATGATTACAAATAAGTGTCATCATAATTAGTCGTGGCGTCGTTAAATCTAATCATAAGAAAACATGAAGTAAAATGAAACGTCCAACAATCGATAAAAAAGACGAAAACATACTAAAAAATGTAGAGAAAAATATGTCACAAATACATAATTATTCTTATTAAAAAATTTAAAAAAGAAAAAAAAAGAAACAACAGTCGACAATCAACATCAAAACTCTTGTTGTCATCGCATAAACAAAGTCAAAGAAAAAAAAAAGTTGATCTGCTCCATAAAAAACAACATAAATCTAAAGATAAAAAAAATGTAAGACCGGGAATAATGTAAAGTTATACTTTTCATTCTTCGACTTCCTTTAATAGGGACGAATGCAAGATTTTATGTTGAGTGCGAACTTTAACTTATAAAATTTCAGGGGCGACCGCTCCCACTAGGCCCATCCATGTTTAAAGTTAAATTATAATAATAAATTCATCATTAATATTTTTGTATAGTAATAATACTAAACATTTAAATTGATTAGTGAATTTACATTTTTCTTTTATTGAACAGTTGATCATATAATGGCTTTATCAATACATCTATTATTTTACGGTGTACAACAGTATATGTTCTTCTTCTGCCTTTACTTCTTACTTCGTTACTTGAATTCAATAAAAGGAAGTAACTTTATGTCTTCTTCTACCTTCTTTCTTTCTTTCTTTCACTCTCCTTTTTATGCTGACTTGAACATACAAATATACAAGGACTAAAGTTTGATACAAAATATTTAAAGCCCAAATTGCTAGCGGACTAACTACTCCGCCAGTTAACCAATCCAACTATTTGATACACAACTCATTGATAATCCATTTAGAGCAGTAGGCTCAGCTGATATAACAACTCGTTCACAATTTAAAATGCAATCTACGTTATCTTAAGGGTAAATTACGCATCTAGTATTTAAACTATCAATTTTGTTCCATCCAGCTCAGTTGGTAGAGCACAAGGTTCTTAACCTTGAGGTCGTGTGATCGAGTCCCATGGAGGGCGTTTCATAATTTGGAGGTCTCTTACGAAAGCTGCTCTCAACTTAGTGTTGGGGGCAGCCTACTATCTTACCTCCCCTTACCCCATTATATATGGGAACAAGGGACAACCATTTTTTAATTTTGTTCCATTTAAGTATCTAAATTTTCAATCTTTTCAAAATCATACTTAAAGTTTAGTTTTTGTTTCATTTTAATATCCTTGTTCAAAATTTATGTTAAATTTTGAAAAAAATTGAAAGCTTAGTACTAAAACGGACTAGAATTTATAGTTTAGGTACTAAACGCAATGGATACTAAAATGAAACAAAAACTACACGTTATGTATAATTTTGAAAAAAAATAAAAATTTAAATACTAAAACGGACCAAAATTAATAGTTTAAATACTAAATATGTAACTTAACCTATCTTTAACACGAAACCTTTCTCGTACGAATGCTTAACAACACAAAGCGTGAAAATAAAACCAGAATACAATAGAGGTTATTTAAGTTCGGATTTGTTGTTATCTCTTGAGGTTTGAGTTCAAGCATCGCATATACCAAGAGTATAAGTATTTATTATGGAATGACTAAAAAATTTTAAACACATATTACCTTGTAATAACACATATTTATAGAAGAAACATATCCACTCATAGCTACAAAATCAAATCCTATCTTCAATATAATCAATTTCAGTATCGTCCAAATTCTTGAAGATTTCGGCCGCACAATTCTTCCTTAATGCATGCTTCTAATTATTCCCTCAATCTCTTTAATCACAAATCATAAACGAAAAGATCATTAGTACTCCAAAAATTACAGATCAAACCACCACATATTTGATTGCAACCGAGTTAGCGACTAGTTGCAGTAGCATGTAATAATTTGTTAATATTGTATTTTCATATGGTTTACTATTAGTCTGTAAATTTTCATCTCTTGAGGTTCGGATCACCACAAGGCTCAACGCCCTACTCTTTTTGCGGCTTTCCCTCTCCTCCATTTTGAGTTTTTCAACATCCCCAGCTCCCACTCTTTCTGTCTTCTGTTTATCCTAAACACAATTCCTAGGCTATACCTTTGTTCCCTTGTACTATTCTCTTAGCTACCACTGCCACTTCCAATTCTCCACTTTTGTCTCACAATAAATAAAGGGTCGAAATTGAATCTCCGCTGTTGATGAGTTGATTTGTTTTTGCCCTTAGGGAGCTTTTGTTTTTTCCTGTAAATATGGGGTTAGTCGATGGCAACAAGAAGAAAGAGAAGGATGATCCTCAAGAAAGCGACGGTGAGTCCTCTTTCTACACCACCGATCAGGACGATGATCTCGATGATGAAAGCAAGCTTCATTTGGGTCCTCAGCGCACTCTCAAAGAACAGCTTGAAAAGGACAAGGCATCGTCTTTGTTTCCGATGGATTTTATCAACTTCTATTTGAATGCATTGAATCCGTCGTTTGTAGGATGATGAGAGCTTAAGGAAGTGGAAAGAACAGCTTCTTGGAGGTGTGGATTTAACTACATTGGATGTACCGCTTTATTCCAAAATATATGCATTTACATGACTCACATGAATGAAAATGGATAGAATTGAATATGTATTTGTTTCCCTGCAGAAACACTTGATCCTGAAGTGAAGTTTATCAGCGTGGCGATCGTGTCCCGGGAGAGGCCGGACATAGTCCTTTCGATCCCGGAAGATGGAAATCCACAGGGCTTATGGTTTACACTCAAAGAAGGTAGCCATTATCGATTGAAATTCTCCTTCCAAGTCGGCAACAACACCGTATCTGGTCTCAGGTACACCAACACCGTATGGAAATCAGGTCTCAGGGGTAAGCTAGCTAGCCTCTTCCTTCTTCACTTCCCCCCCCCCCAAAAAAAAAACAAAATATTCCTAAAATGAGTCTGTTCTTCAGTTTTCAACACGAAAGACATGATCGGAACTTTTAGTCCTCGGCCAGAGCCTTACACACATGAAATGCCAGAAGAAACTGCCCCTTCTGGGTTTATGGCTAGAGGATCATACACTGCAAAATCAAAGGTTTGAAAATCAACCTAAGATTGATTACAGAAATACATAGGTAGTGTTCTGTTACCTGGTTTTATGGAACTGTTCTTGCCAGTTCATTGATGATGACAACAAGTGCCACTTGGAGATCAACTATACATTCGACATCCGTAAAGACTGGGCCTCGAAGGATTAAAGACACAACTCGATGATGATCGATGCTCTTACGCCGCTATATTTTTCAGCTATTGATTTAAACATGTCTTACTTGCAGACAAATTTTGTTTTAACTGCTGGTTTCCCGATTATCTTAACCATATCTCCTTCATTGTTCTTTGAGATAAGTCTGGATGTATTTCTTCTTCAATTCTTCGGCACCATCGAAGTGTTGCCGACATTGTTTGTGCCATTGATTATGGAGTAAAAGTCAAAAGTATAGAAATCAAAATAATGGTCAATACTACTTGCCATGAGAAAAGTACATAAATTAACCACTGGTCAATGAATCCCATCATGAATATTGAAATCGCTAAATCGAAACTTGAACCGGGTTTGAGTGAAGGTTTTCAGTCTACGGGTGACTAAATATTTAAATTTAATAATAAAAGTATACTGATATTGATATACAATTATCTACTTTATCATTTTTAAATAAAAATAAAAAATTTAAACAAGTTGAAATTTAATTTATCCTATTTATAATATTAGAATTTAAATTCATATAGTATTATTTAAAGAATGTCACTAGAGATGCACATGAGATCATGACTCGACAGCTTTCAATCCTATCCACCAACTTCCCACGAGTATATAACATGAAGCAAAGACCGAAGAGTCAAAGGGCCGAAATATTGAAGCAAGAGATGAGCTTGAAAGGGCAGTGACAGCCAATTTCGACGCTTACCTCTCAACTTCCCCCCCCTCCAGCCATCCACCAACTAAAATATTCATAGAAGCTTCCATGAATCCGTGCATTTCCTCCATCATCATCATTGTTTCTTTTTCCTCTTTGGGAATATCATAAATGCTAAATGCAATTAGGCATGAGTTGTAAATCAACTTAAAGAAGCATAACCCTTGATTAAGCCTTGGCATCTACACATTTCTCTAACTAATTGTTGATTGGGATCCGTGATGACATAAAAGCAAGTGGGTGTCAATAATCAAATAGATTAGTTTGATAATTAATCCTTGATGTTGATTTAATCCAATCCATGGCTTTAATTGTGTGCAAGAATTCATCGAGTCTTAAAACAAAGCATTAATTGTGTCATTGCGTCTAATATTTGAACATTACGAAGATCGTATGAGAATCTTTTGATGATGAAAAAACAATGATAAATTATATGTTTAGTATCTAAATCATCAATTTTAATTAGTTTTAATATCTAAACTTTTATTTTTTAAGGAAATAATAATATACGTTTTAATTTAGATTAAAAAAATTAAAATGTTGTACCCATTTAATATCATCTTTACAATAAAAACATAAAATTTAACCACGAAAGCTATCCACCAAAGCGATATTAAATGAGGCCTACACGATTACACCCCATTAAAAGAGCATAATTGATGCATTACCATTGCCATAGGCCCACGTTCGCTTTGTCGTCTTCTTTCAAATTTGTATGTTTTAGAAGCAAAAACTCTCTTCTTTATATAGTCTCAGCCTGTTCCAATCTGCAGTATTGGCAGCCGAATTCCAAAGCTCTGAGATTTCTCTCTGAATTCCTCTTTAGTCAGGTTGTTGTCCTTCATTTGTCAGCTTGCATTCAAAATTGGTTATTTTAAAGCTGCATTCTTTCATGTTGGTTCAAGATTCAAGTTAAATCTAGATCTCTTCTTTGTTTTGCTTTTTTATGGACGTACATTGTGAAACTGTAGATTCCTTTGCTTCCTCCTTTTTCTTCATTTTGGTTGTTGAGGAAGTTACTTGGCTTTTCTGGGAACTTTCCAGTTTGAAGTCAAATGCAAAGTGAATATTAGATTCGATCTGGGTTTTTGTTCTGAAATTTGATGACTTGGGAATTTGGTTAGCTCAAGAACTGAAAATTTGTTCATATTTTTTATTTTTGAGGTTTTTTTTTCATTTGATTTTTACATTTCTATGCCATCATCTGTAAATGCCCTGTTATAGATCCTGATTTAAGCTCTCTTGTTTTCCTTATTATTTGCTTTGCTGGATGAGTTAGTCAAGATCTGATTTTTCATTAGTCTCCATCTAGAAAGAAAATTGGAGATTTTGGTTTAATTTACACTGAATTCCTTGTTTTTATACATAAGATGGAACCCATAGATTCTGATCTGGAGTAGGGTTTTGGTCTTAGGGATTTTTATGTTACTTTTTTGTTCATGATGTAAATTTATTGTAAATTTTTCTCCATTTAGCTGCAATAACTGTGAAGAATTTGTTCTTGTAGGAATTAGGAGTGTTCATTGGAGCAAAACAACATTTCTGGGGGGGAAATGCAGTTTCCCAGGACTTTTTTGATTATTTCTTCTGGATTGCTCCTTTGCTCCTCTTTCACATATGGGCAAAAGGCTAGTCCTCCAGCTCCGGTGGCAATGACCCCAACTCCGACACCAGCACCAGCTCCAGCTCCAGCACCGGAATATGTAAACATCACTTATTTCCTCTCCGTGGCCGGTCCGTTTCAAACATTCCTTAATTACCTCGAATCAACTAAACTCATTGACACCTTCCAAAACCAAGCCAACAACACTGAAGTAGGCATTACGATTTTCGTACCCAAAGACAGTTCATTCAAGGGTCTTAAGAAGCCATCATTGTCCAATCTCACCAATGACCAGCTTGAATCACTCATCCTTTTCCATGCCTTGCCCAAGTACTATGCCCTTGCCGACTTCAATGAGCTCAGTACAAAAAGCCCTGTCAGTACACTTGCTGGTGGCCAATACACATTGAATTTCACCGATGATTCCGGCACCGTGCACCTCGATTCAGGGTGGAGCAGAACGAAGGTCTCCAGCGCCGTACATTCGACCGATCCAGTCGCGATATATCAGGTCGATAAGGTACTTCTTCCAGAGGCTATCTTTGGTAGTGATATTCCTCCTATGCCAGCACCAGTTCCTGCTCCTGTTATTAGCCCTGCAGCGGATGCTCCATCGGCAGATTCGAAAGAAGGCAGTGCTTCCTCGAAGTCTTTGCCTTCGAGCTCGTCTTCAACTAGGCTTGTGGGGTTGAGCTTGAGCACTTGGAGTCATCTGGTCTTGGCAATCTCTGGTGGATTGGTTCTGCTTTTCTAAGATAAAAGACTTCATTGGGCGTAATTTATGTTCATGGATGAGTTCCTAAATTTACTTCGTTTTCTAAAACCATTTTTTGTATGTTATTAAGATTGTGTTAAGAGGAAGAAGGAACATTGCTATGTTATAATTACTATCTGAATTTAAATGGCGTTTTGCAGGAATCTCTGTTTAGTTGCTTAAATTTCATACCATTCGTCTTCCATGGAATTTTTCAAGTTCCATTATGTTAGTTTGCATGATAATATTAAAACTTATAAATAATTATTTTTGTCAAATAAATAAAAAGAATATATTTTTACGCAGTATTTTAAAGTTATTTCACTATCGTAGCAATTTTTTTACTATTTATAATAACGAATAAAATTAAATAACAGTCCATATAAATTGAGAAAAATATTATACAGAAGTAAAATAAGAATTAGATCATACTACTAAAAGTATATTTTAAAAGAAAAATCCAGAGTTTTAATTTAATTTAAGGAAAGCGGTTTTATCGTTGTCTTCTCTCTCTTTCACTCGGTCATATTCACATTGCAATCGGCAGTGTTCGCGGGATATCTGAGGACTAATTCCAATATCATCCATACAAGCATTTCTCTTTCTCTCTCTCTTACAACTTCCAATCCTACGAAAAAATCGAACAAATACAGAAAAAATGGAGGAAACCACCCTTCTATCTTAGTTTCTCTTTCTTCTCTCTGTTTCTCTTAAGGTTCTTCTTCTTCTGTCTTTTACATTCTTACATGGGTCGCTTTCTGTTTCGATAAATGTGATGTCTTTTTTCATATAGGAAGGTTGTTTTCTTAATTTTTCCTATTCAATTATATGTATGCATGCACGCCAGTTTTTTTTACATGTTTTCTATCGGGTTTCTTTTGATTTCTGCATTTGTTGGATCTTTTGTTTCGTTGAATTTTCATTGGCTTTAAGTGGTATGCAATCTGAACGTAAATAATATTTGATTGGGTGTGTGAATAGGGGTTAAAATTTGGTGTAAAAAAACAAGGCAAACCATGTCTAGTTATCAAGGTGTGCTTGTTTCTGATCAATGGCTTCAAAGCCAGTTCACTCAAGTCGAGCTCCGAACACTCAAATCCAAGGTAACCTTTTCTTTTCCTTTCTTCTTTGATTCTTTGCATAATTTGTTTGTATGAAAGTGAAATAATGCATCCTGTTCTAAACGATTACAATTTTGATTCCTAATTCTTCAAAGTACCATTTTTTTTGTTTGCAATAACAATTGCAGGTTACCTTATATTACAAGATTATATGGTGTATTGGAAATCTTTGTTTGACATGGAACTTGGATTGTTGTTTTTGGTTGTTGTTGTTGCATTTAGTTTTTCTCTTCGAGGACTCAACAAGGTCGTGTTACTCTGGCCGAGCTGCCACCAGTTTTGGCCAGTTTGAAAGCTTTCAGTGAAATATTCAGCGAGGACGAGATCAAGACTATCTTGGAAGAGGCACACAGTGACTTGGGCGAAGAAATCGATTTCGAGGCCTTTCTTCGGGTAAGTCTTTTCAGCGTAGCATCTTATGTGCTTTTCCTGTATGCCATTGCTAATTATTCAATGCATGAAATGCTGTGAATTAATGTTTCCTGATGTTTGTGATACGATCATATGATTTTCTCCTTGTATCTTGCTTAGAAGCAATGCTTGGATTTGGTGAATTGGCAGGCTTATTTAACTTTGCAAGATCGTGCAATCGAAAAATCAGGCAGTACTCGATCCTCATTTATCAAGTCCACCACGACCACTTTTCACCATGCTATTAATGAATCAGAGAAGGCTTCTTATGTGAAACATATCAATAACCATCTGGCAGAAGATAAATTCTTGAAAGATTTTCTTCCAATTGATCCTGCCACAGACGCTTTATTTGAGCTTGCTAAAGATGGAGTTCTTCTTTGGTTGGTTCACTGGACCTACTTAGACTTTGCTTTTATCCTTATTGAATCATGATTTGATGTTTGTTGACGTTTTTAGTTGCTTTCATGCAGCAGGCTTATCAACATAGATGTTCCTGATGATGTTTGTTGACATTTTTAGTTGCTTTCATGCAGCAAGCTTATCAACATAGCTGTTCCTGGGACCATAGACGAGCGAGCTATTAACACAAAAAAGGTTCTCAATCCCTGGGAGAGGAATGAGAATCATACTCTTTGCCTTAATTCTGCTAAAGCTATTGGTTGCACTGTGGTTAATATTGGCACACAAGACCTTGTCGAAGGAAGAGTAAGTGATGATTGTTTTCAAGTACTGATTTAGGTGTCATACTTGCTTTTTAATATAACTTGTACAATATTTTAACTAATCCAATCTTCTTCCTCCCAGCCTCATCTGGTACTTGGATTGATTTCTCAAATTATCAAGGTATTCAGCTGAAACTTCCTTTAAACTCATTTAATGTTTGTATTTGTAATTGTCGAATCACAAAAGCCACACTAATCGTATCTGTTTCCTTAAACCATCAATGATTCAAGGGATACATTTTTTGTCGTTACATTGCTAGTATTGTTTACATGGTTGTGACTTTCAGATTCAACTACTAGCTGATCTCAATCTGAAGAAAACTCCTCAACTTGTGGAACTGGTGGATAGCAGCAAGGTTGGAGCATGTTAATTGGTTATTCCTTCTTTGTGACGATATCAGATTCTGGATAAAGTTCGTTTTTCAGGTTGGAAACAAATTCTGTTAACCTTTTGTATAAATTTTGTAGGAGGTGGAGGAGCTTATGACTTTAGGACCTGAAAAGGTGTTACTGAAATGGATGAATTTCCATTTGAAGAAAGCTGGATATCAAAAGCAAGTTACAAACTTCTCTACGGATTTGAAGGTGGGAAAACTCACTGATTTTGATTAATCCTGCTTGTGGAATGTCAAATTTATACACAAAAATATGTTTATAATCATGGTTTTCAGTGTTGTATTAATCTTTAGATTTCGGCCTTAAGTTCCATGAACTGGTGAAACAAATGCAGGGTGTGTAAACGTCTCGGTCTCTTAAACTTTAGAGCTCCTCCTATGGAAAAGGATTTGCCTGTCTATACCATTTTCAGTTTTCTAATGTGAATGATGTATATCATAAACCTATTTATTTGCAGGATGGAGAGGCATATGCACATCTGCTTATTGCACTTGCTCCCGAACATAGTACGCGTGAAACTTTGGAGACGGAGGATCCAACAGAAAGAGCAAACAAAGTTCTTGAGATAGCAGAAAAATTGGATTGCAAAAGATATCTCACTCCTACTGATATTGTTGAGGGCTCTGCAAATCTCAATCTTGCATTTGTTGCACAAATATTCCAGCACAGGTGAGAAATAATGTTTTCTTTTCCTTATGTCTGAACTAAGTTTCCATTATCATCTATATTAGCTTAATAGCTTGTCCCTGTTCATTTTAGTTTTCAAAACTTCATTTTCTACTATCACCTGGTGATGTCATGTTGTATATTGTCTGGTTTATTTCTTATATGCACCGGCGTGTTCCCTTTGGGACACATGATTGTATGTATTTAACTAGCATATGATTTTCTCCTGCAGGAATGGCTTATCAACTGACAGCAAAACGTCGACCTTTGCTGAGATGATGACTGATGATCCAGAAACATCACGCGAAGAGAGATGCTTCCGCTTTTGGATGAACAGTCTTGGTATTGATTCGCATGTCAACAATGTTTATGAAGATGTTAAAAACGGGTAACGAGCTCTTTTCGCTTCTAACAGCGGTATCAAGTGGTCATTAAATCTTCTTTGGTATTCACCCTTTTGTGTCTGCAGATGGTCTCTGTTGGAGGTTATGGAGAAAATATACCCTGGATCGGTTAACTGGAAGCTTGCGAATAAGCCTCCTATAAAGATGCCATTTAAACAGGTTGAGAATTGCAATCAAATAGTACAGATTGGCAAGGAGTTGAACTTATCACTCGTCAATGTAGCTGGCAACGATATTGTGGCCGGAAACAAGAAACTTATACTAGGTAATATCTTCCTGCTTCCATTATTCTCTTTCTTCGTTAAAGTTAAGGCTGTTATTTTCTTCTGTAAGAGAACGTTAATATTCTTATTTTTCCTGTTTTGCTTACCTCACTTTCAGCATTTCTGTGGCAACTGATGAGGTTTTCTATGCTACAACTCCTTAAAAACTTGAGAGCTAAAGAAATTACAGATGCCGACATTCTGAACTGGGCTAACAGAACAGTAAAGCAGGCTGGTCGAAAATCTCAAATGGAGAGCTTCAAGGTAGTAAGCAACAAAGCGAAATCCATGTCTTAATATTCTGATATGGATAAAAGCCTTATGCTAACACACTGGTTTTTACTGGACTATTGCTCTTAGGATAAAAGCCTTTCGACTGGCATATTCTTCCTCGAGCTTCTTAGTGCAGTGGAACCGAGGGTCGTTAACTGGGGTCTAGTTACCAAGGGAAGAACTGGTATGGTGTTATTCCATTATTATATTAATGTGTCATTTTCCTTATGTTATATGGCACTTCTGCAATACAACCTTCCATGGCTATGATTTATGTTATATCAATAAAGAGGTGTATTGTTTTATTGTCATTGACTTGCAGATGAAGAAAAGAAGATGAATGCAACTTATATAATCAGTGTTGCGCGGAAACTTGGTTGTTCCATTTTCTTGTTACCTGAGGATGTTATGCAGGTATATATTTCAGAAATTCGAATATTCGATATCCATAATCCCTTCTCTATATCTTCTCCGATTTCAAATTATCGACAATGTCATTAACAGGTGAACCAGAAAATGATGCTTACTTTGACTGCCAGCATCATGTACTGGAGCCTACATAAGCAGGTAGCAGCAGGAAATGAAAACGTTTTGGATGACTCATCTGAGACACCTCTGCCGGAAGGAGAGGTGACAGCACCCTCTGGTGAAATGTCCGATTTGGCTGTTGATGACTCGGTTTCAGAATCTCTATCAACTGAAGAATAGGATGGTGATGAAAAATATAGGGAGATTTCTAATTCTTTTCCCTTATTCTTTTGCTTCGAAAGAACCAGAACTGGAGGGTCTACTCCTACTTCCGGTTCATTGCTTTTTTTTTTTTTGTAGACCACAGGAGAAAAAGAAATGGGACTAATATAAATTTATTATTCATTGGATTGCGTTGATTATGCTTGAATAA